AATCAGCGTGTTACGGAATGCGTGAACATGAAAAGCAACGTGATAGAAATTTAAAATGGTAAGTGCGATTGAAAAAATCCAGCGGCGACAAAAAAAAAATTGATTTCAATCTCACGGAAGGGAGGGAAATGAGCCGAATAGATCGAGCATCGACGAAATTACTACTCTTCGATTTTACGATCCCTCTTCTGATACTAGGAAATAAAATAAAAAGCAACATTAATACTTTGTACGTGGAATTTAATGTAAACGTGACGCGAGGCAGATAAAAATTAACGATTTATTAAACAAGAAGACGAATAGAGAAACGAACATTGTTTTTCATTATTATCATGTCTGGTAAATTCAATTTATCATTGTGCCATGACTCCCGCTCTGAAACTTCTTCCGTGTAAGCTTTTATTTCTACCATGCTTCATCATTATACAAATTAGAGATAAAACAAGCGTTTAACTCGAGTCCACGGAGAATGTGCTTCGTCCTACATCGTACATATGTAGTGATTGCTTACGTTCAGAGGTCATGTTTTATCAGACACAGTCGCCGACTCTAACGAATTCTATATACTTAAACCAGAAACGTTTAAAAAGCGTTGTGAGAATGATCTCATTTTAAATAATCATACCGCTGCTTCGCAATTTTCATAATTTAACACAGCGTAAAGAAACAATCTTATACAATAAAATATAATGACATTTAACTTCCAACAGAAGCACTGCAAAATATTATTTTCAGCAATTATGAATTTTAAAATTTCTTCCTTTTACAGTGCACCCTTTCCGTGCAGTGTGTGTACTGTCATTTAATTAAATCAAATTAATAATCACTGTTAAACGATCACTGTATCAGCTTAATTGCCAGAGATTCAAATCGATATAATTCTTCAAAAATTTCCAAATTTTTTTTTTTTTTTTTTCGAAAACTCAATCTACATTAGGTGTAATCAGGATCGTATTAGCATATAAGCGCATCGAAGGTGTCACACGAAGCAAATCCATTGTCTGTCCCGTAGTAATTTCCCATATTGCGGAAACGAGTTAATATATTGACAGGTAACTCGTCTTTCAATCTCATCCCCCGGTCCAAAAGCAAATTACTCGACCGAAGCGAGGAAATAGCGAGGTCTGCATTGAGGGGGTCCTTCGTGTCCATGGCACGCGATGTCATATCACGTTATTGAGAGCTACTTGTCACTCCCTGCTTTGGCGTCATAGCAGGACAGGACGTCCATGCGGATCATTCAATTAATTCCATCTTTACTCACATAAATACCGGCGATAACCGTAGGAAAGTTCTGTACGTCTAGCATTGTCACTTGTCATTTGAGCACCGATGTTTGAATGTGAACGGTGAGATATCTAAACACCAACGCGTCTAATTATCTCTGATATCTAGAAATCACCTACATATCAACTGTGTCAACGGAACATTGTTCGTGCGAACTGCGTTTAATAATTAAAATACGTGTTTCAATATGGCAATTCGAAGCGACACTTCGCCTATCTCGTTTATCAAGCTTCCACGATGTGAAATATCCTAGAAACTGGTAATTATAAATCGATTTCTTTTTCAAATAAAAATAACAATTTTCAAAGTGTTAATATTCATTTTAAAAGCATGATCTTTTCAAACAAATTCCGCTACTTATTTATTTATGTACTTGATACTACGCGATATGAAGCATGATGAAGAATCTCTTATATTTTCCATCAGTTTATTTCTATGGAAAAGTAGCTTATATTAGATTTCAAAATTGACAAGTTACTTTTATACACTTTACGGACAGAGTGTTTTATTAGATTAGTCTAATTAGATCAGTAACATCTCGTTGTCATCACGCGCAATGTGTTATAACGTTATAGCTATAGTATAATTTAGTCCACAAAAGGATTTTTGTCAACTGTATCAATGGTACGAATTCTGTATATCACTCATCGTGAATAGAGAATTTTCTAAGAGAAAAAGAATTTGTAGCTCTAAGCAGAGGAACGTTGGACAATGGACTTTTTCCCTGTCGCATTCACTGCTCGATGCAATTTAATTTCGTTTGAACGTAATATAATAGGCAGCGTACGAGCCATTTATGTGGCAGGGTGTTATAGATTATTGGCTTGACGGGTCGTGAGTCTCATACCATTTCTGTTAGGCATTCATTTATAAATGCCACAATTCTAACAAAGACCCTGATTGCGATGTTCGTAGATAGTCATCGATGCTAACTCTCCTTCTCCCTAGCGTAATGCGTTCTGGGCGTGTGCACGGCACGAACATCGCTACTTGAAATCAACTTACCGCTCTATCCGTTCGGTGCCCTCGTTAAATTCAAACAATAGCTTTTCTTTTACTCGCACAGCAGGATTTCACAAATGTGGAAACGATTCTTGTCCATACTTGCCATTCCTTTCACCTCTTTTCACTTACAAAAATTTATAGGAATACAAATAACATTGTATAGAACTTTGAAGAATTACGTTCATCAAATCGTTCGATCATATTTCCCATTCTCGTTATTCTAATCTACGTCTAAAACAAACACATTTTATTCGTCGCAGCGTTGCTGTAGACTATAGGTAAGGCTGTAGAAATGAAAAGAACGTTTCATTGGAAAATAAGGCAAAATTATCAATTACACGCTGCTTAGTAGCCAACGAAATTACAAACCGCTGAGAATCATCAATATCCGATCTTTATTACGGTTAATTTCACCCTAATCCACGACGAACTTCGCCAGCATTTTGCCTCTTCTCGTAAAATTTCATCGTTCGAATTACAGAATTCTTGAAGATCGGATATTTTCTAAAGCAGCGTCTTCTGCGGGACGATAAAGCCACGGGTTTTTGCAGCGTAATGTACTCGTGTCGAAGTGGAGAAAGAACGTGGCGGAGAAAAGAGAGGAAAGAGAGGAAAGAGAGGACGAAGGACGCGGCTGTTGCATCCTGGCGGCGCAGGAGCGCATCAACAGGATCTCGCTGGACCAAGTTGCCTCTGCCAGTGGCGTGGTGGTGGGGATGGCTGAGAGTTAGTGGTGGGGGTACGCCGGCCGGCGGAGTGGGGGCACGGCACGAAGAAGAGACGAGTGGAGCTCCCTCTGGCGAATGTCTCGTGTCAGTCGAGCCGTGTGTCGCGTCGCGGTAGTGTGTTGTGTCATAGTTGCGCGTTCCGCGTATACCGTCGAGCACTGATGACGCTTTGCCCACCGTGATTATGAGCGACGTGAGTTCAGTGAAAGCGAGTTCGACGTATTGTTCTCGATATGTCCCGAGGGCAGTGAAACGGAGCATCGCGCGATAGAAACACGCGCTGCGAACCGAGGCTCTGTCGCGTACGCTGGACCGCGTGCTTCTCGCCGTGTCGCTCTTTCCTCTTTCGGAGTTTTCAAGGTTACGGTTTCAATACCGGCACGAGAACGATTCCCGGCGCGGAGACCGTCGCTTCTGTCTGCGGTTTTCGTCCGATTCCCTCTCTGTCACCCGCCTCTGTCCTTCTCCCTGTCGTCCGGCCGTTCAACGAAGAAAAGAAACACTCGAATACAGCTAACCTCGATTTTTCGTTCTTTCGTCGATTTCGCTTTCGATTTCGATTTCCATCGCGTTCTAACTCGCTCGGATATATACACCGTGGATTTGTATCGTTTCTTCGCCGACTGTGCTGTGCTTCTTGTTTACTGCTCCGTTTTTACCGATCGGTTCTTCGTCGTTTCTGCGAATCTCGTCGAGGAAACAGTGAATGTATTTCTAACGCAGGGAATTGGAAGGGATGTTACATTAATACGATACGACAGTGTCGGGGCGAAATCGTCAATGGCTACGTGAGAAGAAGCTTCAAGGCCAGGAATAACTCCAATAAGGACGTATCGGAGTCGTAACAGTGCTGAAGAAAAGCAATATCTACGGATAGAGAGAGAGAGAGAGAGAGAGAGAGAGAGAGATCAGTGTACATTCTGTGATTAAAGCCATATTTTGTTTAATCATTAACGTCTTCCATCATTCTACAAGAGTTACGATAACATAGACGCGATACAAACAAAACGTACGTAGATTATATTACTCTCGAAGAAATACTGGTCTTGATTCGACCGTTTAACTACGTACGGATACAAATCGAGCAAGTGCGGTGAACGTCTCGTAGATGAAACGTACACTACCATACAGATTGTAAAGGAAGCGGGTAGACGGCCGCGCGCAATAACAGTCGTCGGTTATAAATTTAAAATGCTCCGAATCGAGACACGTGCGCTCGAATTGATCTCGGTTTGAGAGGATCGATAACTTCGTTCAGTTGACTACTCGCGCGCGTCCTCCCTTACCGACCGGGAGGGCATCTTGCTACGCGAGATAGACCGAGGCAGGGGAGACACGGAGTACAATTACCCGCGGTTTTTCTTTTCATTCTTAACTCTGTGTGCACGGAGAGAGAAGAGAGAGAGTCGTCGTCTCTCGATTTAGAAGCTCGAGTCGTGAGAGAAACGGAGAAACAAAGGGAGAGAGAAAGAGAGAGGAAGAGAGATCGTATCGACGCGTCGAACCAGTTCGATCGTCCGCGCCTCGTAATGAGCCGGAGCACCGCACGTTGAAGATCGAACGTGACCAGTGCAGTAACCCTTCCTCCTCCGGAGCGCGTCGCCGATCGGTATTCTCGAAGGAGCCGTTAATCGAGGGTACCGCCCATTACAAGAAAAACCAATCGGACCGGGGATCCAATCGGTTTCAGGCCGATTCGATAGCGAATATCATACGTGACTTCGTTCTCTGGCCGCGAGGACGTCGCCGTCGTCGATCCGCATTCTTTCGAAGATGTCGCGGCGCGTTGTTTCGAGACGGAGCAGCGCGTAGGCAAGGAGGAGGTAGACAAGGACAGACCGAGACGAGATCGGCAAGAAAGTCGGAAGGGAGAGACACGAGAGAGAGGAGAGAGGGAGAGAGCGAGAGAGCGAGAGCGAAAGAGTGAAAGAGCGGCGGGGGCGTGATAAAACCCTCGTATTCCTCGCCAACGATACAGACATGACGATGGCCAGCAATATTGTGGTCGAGTGGCTGCGCTCGCTTCACTTGGGCCAGTACTCCGAGTCGTTCATCGACAATGGCTACGACGACCTTGAGATCTGCAAGCAAATCGGCGATCCCGATCTGGACGCGATCGGGGTGTTCAATCAAACGCACAGAGCCAGGCTACTCCAGTCGGTGAAGACGCTGAGGGAGGAGGGTGCTGCGAGCGTTTACTTCACGCTGGAGGAAAGCAACGATTGCCTGTGCGACAACGTCAGCTCGAAATCTTCCAGAACGTCTTCTGAGAGACCGCTCAGCGATAAAGAAGCGCAGAGGGCTTCGCCAACAGCCAGCTCCTCGAGCGGTGGTCAGGAATTAACCAAGTTCGCGGACGAGTACGAGGAGGGAAAGGCGGAGCTCGTCAGAATCCCGAGGATGCAGCTACGGATGCTGCTGCAAGAGAAGCTCAGGCACGACGGCATCAGGCTGGCTTGTCAACCTTACACAACACCGGTAAGTCAGCTTGTCCTCTCTCTCTCTCTCTCTCCCTCTTTAATGTTTCTAGACGCAAAATATTCTTCATCGCTATTACCTGACCATTACGTTCAAGACAAAGTTAGTTATTTGCTCGCCATGATAAAAAATGCCGCGAAAAAATTTACGACCAGAAGCTCTGTACGATGTAAGACGAGTTACATGAAATTCACGGAACTTTATCATCCTTGGAAGCATCTCGTGAAATTTTCCCTTCCTTGCTCACCTTCCCCCCCCCCTCCCCATTGAAATTTCTTTCGCGTCTTTGTTTTTCCCTCCAACCTGTCGTTGAATAGCTCGCCTGTTCGTCGTAATAATAACGTTGTGATTTTCTTTTTCTTTTCTCTCATGGACGCCTCGCGTAATTTCACGTTGCGTTTCATCGACATCTCGCATCTCGCGTGAATATTTCGTTGAAAATTGATAAAGTTGAATCCGATTCAGTTGAGTCAGAGCGATAAGAGTAAACTTCGTTGTTAACAGATCAAATTTCCCTGACGATCGTCAATTTTGTTTATTCGCTAACGTTTCATATCGATCGGCACCGAGAATCCGAATCGAATTATCAGTTTGCGAAATGACTGTATGAATCGAGAGTATTTCAGAGGCGAAGGTAATGCAGAAAACTCGTAATCCTTGCCAGGCACACCTTGAGAGTGTAGATAATCCTCTGATTCATTATTTCGTTACATTAACCACCCCTCCAGATAACACCGCACGCTATCCTTCCAGCATACGTTTTACGACGTGTTCATTATATTCTTCCAGAGGAAATGTGCATTCTGTGCGTTTTAACGAAGCGTTTTATCGCAATTAGCATACACGTTTCGGCGAAACAAGTGGAACGAATTAACGATGAAATTTTCAATTCGTGGAAAGTAATGTATATGTACCTATAATGTATTAATTTCGAGTGATGAGGTAGTCAACTTCGAAACCGATTCCGATTAATATTGTCGATTTTTCTAACCGTTTCGTAACCGATCAAATCAGTCGCGGGTCTACATTCAGATCCAGAGTTGAGAGAAAGATCGAGAAACACGTGAAACTCGCGAATGAAAATTTGAAACATGATTTTGATTTGTCCCACGCAAGCTGTCAATTTCACGAACGTGGTAAAAAGCGCGGCTGTTCGACAACATTGTCCCCCAAAAAGGTAAAGTTATGCGACCGATAAAGACAAATAAACGCAACCTCATGTGTAATTACGTGTTTTTCGTTTGCGAATGCAAGCCATCCGGAATAACCACAGGCTTCACGTTTTAAAAAGTAAACAAGTTTAAAAAAACGCACCGTATTTTCATGCAGCGGTAATTGAAAACGGTATTTCCGAAGTTTCATCTGAAAAACACAGCAGCTGCTGCCATGTTTACGAATATGTAGAGCATATATTTTCCTATCTGAAGAATGCACGCCGAGCGTTATCAGCGTTTGTCTAATTATAAGGGATGTTCGACTAATTGAAGTTTAAATCAGATTTTTCACCATCGCTTCTTTTCGTTCGCTTTTATCGTAAACAAATGTGTGTATGTCTGTGTGTGTGTGTGTAGATCGCAGTCGTGCGTCGATATTGTAACAAATATTTCGTTAACTCTTGTAAAAGAAAATGAATGAAATCTTTTAAATTGTAATTTGAGAGCAGTATTTGTAAGGGTATCTTTGCACGCCATTCGAGGATCTTTTATCACCGATGTCGAGAATGAAAGGTACAACAAGCAGTTCAACGATCGAGACAAGGCAAAATTACGTCAATTACAGTGTCGCGAGAGGCATAACGGATTTGTTAGGCAACGTGTACCAACAATCCAGCCATTGAACGAAACTGAAATCGAGCGAAAGACAAAGTACGTAATTTGAATTGATTGTTTGAAACGTCGCTTGTAACCAATGGTGCAACGTGCGTTGTATCATTGTCACGAATATGAAACCTAGTTACATTATCAGCTTGGCATAGCTTTATGTTACACGTGATCGTGGTCGTTAATCGACAAACACGGCTCGACAACGCCTTTCCAGTATCTGCTCGCTTTAATTAACCGCTCGGACGAGCTGAAC